CATTGTGGCCAAACAGTTGGATTTTGGTTTCATGTGACCAGAGCACCTTCTTCCACATGTTTGGTGTCTCCCAGGTGACAAACTTTAAACAACACTTTTTATGGATATCTTTGAGAAATGTCTTTCTTATTGCCACTCTTCCATAAAGGCCAGATTTGTGCAGTGTACGACTGATTGTTGTCCTATGGACAGACTCTCCCACCTCAGCTGTAGATCTCTGCAGTTCATCCAGAGTGATCATGGGCCTCTTGGCTGCATCTCTGATCAGTCTTCTCCTTGTTCCAGATGAAAGTTTAGAGGGACGGCCGGGTCTTGGTAGATTTGCAGTGGTCTCATACTCCTTCCATTTCAATGTGATTGCTTGCACAGTGCTCCTTGGGATGTTTAAAGCTTGGGAAATCTTTTTGTATCCAAATCCGGCTTTAAACTTCTCCACAACAGTATCTCAGACCTGCCTGGTGTGTTCCTTGGTCTTCATGATGCTCTCTGTGCTTTGAACAGAACCCTGAGACTATCACAGAGCAGGTGCATTCATACAGAGACTTGATTACACACAGGTGGATTCTATTGATCATCCTCAGTCATTTGGGACAACATTGGATCATTCATAGATCCTCACTGAACTTCTGGACTGAGTTTGCTGCACTGAAAGTAAAGGGGCCCAATAATATTGAACGCCCCACTTTTCAGTTTTTTATTTGTTAAAAAGTTTGACACATCCAATAAATTTCATTCCACTTCACGATTGTGTCACACTTGTTGTGATTCTTCACAAAAAATTAAAACTTTATATCTTTATGTTCGAAGTCTGAAATGTGGCAAAAGGTTGAAAAGTTCAAGGGGGACGAATATTTTCGCAAGGCACTGCATATAGCGCCTTTTTATCTTATTTCAAGATACTCAAAGCTCTTTACACAACAATCTGTGTCCTCATTTACCCATTCATACAGCACTCTACTAGATCTCTACAAAGCTAATTGAACAAATCATTCTAAAGAGACTAATCAGTGCTTTAGATCACATTCATACACTGATGGGACACACATCAGAGGCTATGAGGGGTTCAGTGTCTTGCCCAGGGACACTTCAGCATGTTACTGCTGGTGGATTCAAACCCCCAACTCTCTGTTGGAGGACGACTGCTTTAACCACGCAGCCACAGCCACTCCAGTGTGAAAAACTTCCTTAAACCAGTCACAAAAATTGGCCATGAGCTGACTGCCCAGCACGTTGTTATGCTCCTATCAGTTCAGCCGAGTTGACAGAGTGCAGGAGGTGTCCTTAGAACAGGGGTCTGCAACCTTTATTATAAAAGAGCCATTTTTATCAGAGTCAGAGTTTCTTTATTGTCATTCGCACCTCATGTGGTACATGTGGTGGAGCGAAATTATGTACACAAGGTCCCAGTTACATCCAACAATAAAATGTATAAGAAAAACATTAATAACATCTAAGATATGAACTAAGAAAATCATCAACTAAATATACACTAAGCACTCATAACATAAAACATTGAACATCAGCACAAACATATGCTTTCGTTCACTAAATTAAATGTGTCCAGAGCCGCAACAACCTGCTTCAACTGTAATTATCAACTGGTGGCCCATGGACCACTTTAAATTTGTTATAGGAGACTTTTGTGGCTGGTAGGAGTGACAATATAAAGCTAAGAAATATCTAATGATTTTTTAACATTTGATATTTTTACAATTTAAGACAAATGAAAAGACCATATTCTTGCAAAGAGAGGGGAAATGTTTTTTTTAATCAAAAAACAACAACTATGAACTGTGTAAACCTATGTCAGTTTTAATTAAGTATAGAAATAAAGCAAAAACTTAAAATATTTGCAAAATAAATAACAGGAAAACAGTTAAAACGTTGGTTACGTATTGTAACCCCAGATTCTATGAGTATAAGCGCAGCCCTTTAAGGCTATTGCTAGTGGGTTTATCCCTACGTGTTCAGCGCAGCACTGAAAACTTTAATCCACGCCCACCTACTGTGTGGGCCTCATCCCGGTCCATATAAATTATGGTGAGACCGAGTAATCGGCTCCCAAATAGCTTTTTTTCTTCATCCATTTAGGAACCAGTGAGGCCCGGAGCTTAAAGGGCTGCGTCTATACTCATAGAATCTGGGGTTACAGTACGTAACCAACGTTCTATTTCGTATAGGCTTCGCCCTTTATGGCTATCGCTAGTGGGTTAAAGGCAAAGTAGGATGTAGTCTATGCTTCACTGGGTCAACTCAGACACAACATGAAGCAACTGCTTGCACACAAAAAACTATTTCATCACTCATATCCTGATGCATGCTCAATAATCCAGGTAGAAAAATCCAAAAAAGTTCAATCTGGTCCTCTGGACATTCAAAAAATAAAAATAAAAACTCCAGTCAGCCATCAGGTGAAAAGGAGGAACCCAGACCCAAACCAGTGGTCATTCCGTATGTTGAGGGAGTATCAGAGAAACTGAGACGTTTATTTTCTAAACATAACGTCCCAGTGGCTTTTAAACCCCAAAATACATTACGGCAAAGACTGGTTCATCCCAAAGATCCAGTCCCCCGGCACAAACAGAGTAATGTTGTGTATGCTGTTCAGTGTCAGGAGGGTGATCAGTCTTACATCGGGGAAACTAAACAGCCACTGGCCAAAAGAATGGCCCAGTACAGAAGATCAACATCATCAGGCCAGGATTCTGTGGTCTACACTCATCTCCAGGCCAGCGGTCACTCTTTCAGAGATGAAGATGTTCACATCCTGGACAGAGAGGAACGATGGTTTGAGAGGGGAGTAAAGGAGGCCATCTTTGTGAAAAGAAATCGTCCATCATTAAACAGGGGTTGAGGCCTACGTGTTCAATTGTCCTCCTCTTACAATGCTGTTGTTGCTAGCATCACTCAACCCCCTGTGAATAGTAAACAGCCATCAGTGTGCTCATGATCCATTGTTAGGCTGATGGTCCTTCTTGACCATGTGAGCAGCTGGTCTTGGTTGTCAGCAGCAAACTGGTTGATCCAATATGAGAAGGTGCTATTTATAAGACTGAGCTGAATACAGCACCTCAGACTGAGGAAGTCTTTCGGAAGAAAGACGAAACGTTTCTATATATTTTTTTATGTATATTTTTTTGAATGTCCAGAGGACCAGACTTAACTTTTTTAGATTTTTTTTCTACCTGGAATATTGAGCATGCATCAGGATATTTGAGAACCTTTGAAGCCAGTTGGTCAAGAGCAAGGCCGACATACTTACCTGTCAGTTTGTTTCTTCTGGAAATGTATAATTATTGTCGAACAGAGTGTGTCTGATGTAGAGGAATATGGGGTTGGATATATATTGTAAATTATCAGTTATGAGTTAAGCTCATAAGATATGCATTTATTATGCAAATAACCTCGTTGTGGGCACCACATCTCTTTTTAGAGGAAAAATCAGTTTCTAACACCAAATTAAATGTAAACTGAAACGTGAATTCTTTTCTCGTGTTTAAAGGGCATCAAATCATTTAATACACACAGATATGCCAAAATAATCACAAATTTAGTTGATTTTATGTATTTTATTACAAAAATAATAATCTGTGATATATCTGATGAAGATTATGCATAATACACAAATGAATAACGAATAGCTTTGTATCAAAGGTCTACTTGATTATTCAAATCAGTGGAACTTTAAAAAGGCAGAATTTTTGGACTGTTCTGTTTGTGAAGTAGTTAAAATTGTGTCTGAATGAGCTGTAGTATGTGTAAAGCAAGATTATTGTGATGTATGATCACCAGAAAGGCATTAAAGGGTCTCTCTCTCACCAAAACGAGCTGTCTGAATGTTCCACAACTGCTTAAAATGATACCAGCAAGGCCTGAGATGCTCCAGTGACTGAGAGGCAGATTGTCTCCTCAAAAGTCACCGATCACCATTGGAGGGACGAAGGTCCGGCCACTGGCTCTGAAGTCAGCTTGGATTTATCACTCTGCGGTGCGATGGCTCTGGTTCGGTCAGGTTCTCTCGTCCTGAGACGTTTGCAGAAAAGGCTGCTTCTCTCCCGTTCTCTTCCTTCCTAGGATATCTCACTAGCAGGATGCGTCTTTTGCCGAAGTTTGCTCAAAGCCCAGTTGAAGTGTGTTGTGTAGAAGTAGAAGTGAAGGCGAAGAAGAAGTAGGCGAAGAAGTGAAGACGAAGTGTAGCGAAGAAGAAGTGAAACTTAACTGTCTGTGTGTTACAGATTGACTTTGGTCCACCTCTCGGAAGAGGGATGGTCCTAACTCTGTCATGTTTTATAAAATCTAAAGTCCATTTTCTCTGTCTGCCTTTTTAAGTCACTCTTCTTTTAAAAGAAAAAAAATAAGACAAACGATTATCTTAAAGAGAGATTACATAAAACAGACATTTTCATAAATAACATTCAGTTCTGAAGGTTTTGAAATAACATGCAATGTTCATCAAAAGGTGTCGCTGTTCATCTCCTGAAAAGAAAATGTCATTTAAACAAAGGGTTCTTTAAAATGTGTTATCTTCATGGGAACCCATCTTGGGAGTAATACTCCTTTTTTTTTTTGATAAAAGTTAAAGTCTCAGCAGATGTTTCACTTCGAGGTCAGTTGAACCAAAACTCATTAAAACGATCTGTCCGTTTCATGGGAAATTAGTTCATATTGGCAGTGAAGTTAACACAGTGACAGTTTTTTATTACACTTTCATTAGTGTCAACTAAGTTAGTGCTGAGCTGGACACTTGTAAAGTGAAGTCTGTTTGTTCCCAAGGGAATAGATGCATCTTATTTTAAACAGTTTAAACACAAAACACATGAATGATGTTTGTTTGAGATGAGGTGAACTCCTTTTTCTGTTTAAACTGAGATGAACTGTTTTCTGAGAAGAGGTGTTCTGTTTCTGAGGTGGTGTTCCCCTACACTGATTAATAAGTTATTATTATTGAGTTGGAACTTTGGCTTTTTGTTTGGTCAAATCTTTCTGTTCGTCTTTTACAGTGTAACTCTGCTTTGGCCAAATGAATGGGAGGTGATCAGCAGACTCTTCATTGTTGACCAGCCAATATCCATCCACTGCTTAAAACAGACCACACCAAATGGATGCACTACCCATTACACCACTCACCCTGGTAAGGCTTCCAGGTTCGAGAAAGCAGCTCAGCATTCACAATTCATACAATATACCATATCACTTTTTTATAAAGCACTTAAAAACAGCAACAAGGCCAACCAAAGTGCTATACAACAAAGCAAAGGACACTGGATAAAATACATACTGTAACTCCACAGAGGTAAAGATAAGAAATTAAATTACTAAAATCTTCCATCATTTTCCTCTGTCTTGCAGAGTAATTCATCAGAGAGCAGTGACTTAGATCATCTAGTTGATCATTTTACAACTTCTTTGCAAACCAAACCTCACTTGATAAAGCTGCGCCGCTGAAAAAGAAAGTAATCAATCAGAGGAGATTAGCTCCTTGGTTCAATTCTGAGTTACATACTTTAAAACAGACATCTAGAAAGCTGGAAAGAAAATGGTGCTCCACTGACGTTGAGGACTCTTACTCATCCTGGAGAGATAGCCTGCTAATGTACAAAAAAGCACTCCGTAAAGTTAGAACTTTACATTGTTAGTCTTTAATTGATTAGAATAAAAATAACACCAGGTTCCTTTTCAGCTAGTCTAATGAAAAATCATCTCTCTGTTGATTCATTTATCCTTACAACTATAAGCAGTGATGACTTCATGAAATTCTTTATAAATAAAATGGTTTCAATTAGGGAACAATTCAAACCAGCATCCATAGTATTGCCTCTGGTTCTGTCAGATGAGACACCTGCGTAATATCACTAAAATTAGAAACATCTTATCTAAAAATGATGCAGAAAAACTGGTCCATGCATTTGTCACACCTAGACTGGACTATTGCAATGGTTTATTATCTGGGTGTCCAAATACTTCTTTAAAACGTCTTCAGTTGATCCAAAATGCTGCTGCCAGAGTCTTAACTGGAGTTAGTGGGAGAGATCATATCTTTCTAGTTTTTATTTCTCTCCATTGGCTCCCTGTCAAATCCAGAATAGAATTCAAAATCCTACTTCTAACTTACAAAGCTCTCAACAACCTAGCTCCATCTTATATTTGAGCTTTTATTAGAATAGAATAGAATAGAATAGAATAGAATAGAATAGAATAGAATAGAATAGAATAGAATAGAATAATAATAATAATAATGAATTTAATATATTACACACTTTTCATTTATAAAAATCTCAAAGTGCTACAAATTGCAACTGAAATCAGTGATAAAATCATGTGGAGGCAGAATAGGCTTGCTTAAAATGAAAAGTCTTTAAGCCTTTTTTAAAGTCAACCAATGATTGTGGAGCTCTCAGATAGTCAAGGAGGGAGTTCCAGAGGTGAGGGCAGCCACACAGATTGCCCGATCTCCCGTGGTCCTTGTGGAAGGTGGAGGAGATGACTGTTCTGTGATCGTAGGGACTGGGTGGATGAATATTGAGCAAGAAGGTCCTTAGAATAGAAAATCATCAAAGTTCTTGCACACCTTCCAGGCCTCAACATAATATCTATTTAAAATTTTGATTCAAAATGTTGATGGAGGTGGGCACAAAAGAATATTTAAAACAGTTCAGTTTAGTTTTTGGGATTCTATACATTCTACCGGAAGGCAAGCACTTATATTCCTCATACAGGATGTGGGACAGATCCAACAAAACCCTTCGTGCCTGCCTAATTACAGACTGCTCATAGATGAACTGCAGGGAGAGCTTTTAGGTCCTACCCAACACCTTCATAGCAGTCTGTACCAGGTGCTGCAACTTAGATGGGAGACTGCAACGAAGACAAGATTCAACTTGTTTGCTGGATTCCTTAGATAGAGAACTTTACTAATTGGCTTTTATGTATGTGAATGTTTCTTTAAAGTGCCCTGAGACAACTTTGTTGTGATTTGGCGCTATATAAATAAACTGAATTGAACTGAATTGAATTAGATTTAGACTGAGTGGAGAGATTGCTGAACCGTCATCTCGGGCAAGTTGAGTAAATCCACGGGTGGTTTTGATATTTTTGTGTAGCGGAGAGACAACAGCGCGTCTCTGGAGTCGATGTATGGTAGTCCATTCTCCAAGTATGGAAAAGTTTGACACATCCTGAGAAGCTGCCAGACCAGCAGTGCCAGTAATAATCCTTGTGCAAATAATGTTATGGTGTTCCTCTCAACTCTCATACACTCTCACAATTAACAATAAAACCAAGTAAAAAATAAAAAGCAGCAACACCACTAGAGTCCGAGTCGCCAGCAGAACAGCGCCACATCAGCTGTCAAAGTCACCATATTTTCCTAACATAGCACTTCGCTCTTATGCCCCTTTTCCATTAGTACCTGTAGTACCGGTACAGCACAGCTATACTCGGTACAGTACATGTTGTGTTTCCATTATGCTTTCAGTACCGGTTCCAGTGGGCGGGGTTCAAACTGACGTCAAAACCTCTCACCAGCTGGTGGCGGTGCGACGCTGAAACTGTTTTCTGTACAGGGTGAGAATTTATTTTTGAAATTGTGTGTATTTATGTATATATATATGTGTATATATGTGCGTGTGTGTGTGTGTGTGTGTGTATATACATATATGTGTATGTATATACACACACACACATATATATATATACACACACATATATATATACACACACACACATCTATATATACACACACATATATGTGTGTGTGTGTGTGTGTGTGTGTGTGTATATATATATATATACATATACATATATATATATATATGTGTGTGT